GGGGGGGAAGAGAGAGAGATTAGTAAACAGTGTAGAAAAATGAAGTTCAAATAAACACAGAGATAATTTATATGCAATGAAGACTGAAGACTCTTGTAGGTAGAGATTGAAAAGTTGAGTGGCCCTGTTATCTTGTCTCAAGGGAACAGAAGACATAAGACCAAGGTATTGTGGACAAATTAGTTGAGAAGTTGGAGATCTTTCTTTCAAAGATTATATATTTGAGTTCTCACCAGAGACAGAAATGAAAACTACGAGGCAAAAATGATCTGGGTTTTTGTGAACCGGGAAGACTGTAAAAGATGGCAATCAATTGCAAAGTGAAGGTGATGAGTTGAAACGGGGGGTTAGCTAGCGGCGTAGTATGAAGGATGGAGCTTCACACTTGAACCATGATAGAACATGCACCGAAAAACAGCATGAAAAGGATGGAACACAAGGAACAAACTGGCATTAAACATCAGCTTATGTAAATGCAAGGCATTTTTTTTTATTTTTTTGAAAAATGCAAGTTGAAAATTAAAGCTGAGAGCGAGCGGGGGTCCATAGTGTCATTAGGAGGGCCAACATTGAAGTGCAAACCCTATAGGCTTGGCTCCCACCATGTCCTTGCCTCATCAGCACAGACCCCAAAATACCCGTGGTATGTCCTTTACCCCTACACTCCACATGACCCCTCTCTCCCTATCTATCTCACACTACCTCTTCTTCTCTCTCTCCCTTACCTTCTTCATAAATACCACCATCACCCTCCAATCCTCCCATCACCACCATTACCTTTTACTTCCAGCTCTTATCTCTCTTTACCATTCACCATTCCTCACCACTCATCTCAAACTCCAAATGGCCATTAGAAAATCACAGAAACTACCTCAAACAGCCGTCCTTAAGCAGATTCTCAAGAGATGCTCAAGCTTGGGCAAGAAACACGGCTATGATGATGATGGCCTCCCACTTGACGTACCAAAAGGCCACTTTGCTGTGTATGTTGGTGAAAACAGAAGAAGATACATTGTTCCAATCTCATTCTTGAGCCACCCTGAGTTTCAATTCTTGCTTCAACGAGCAGAAGAGGAATTTGGTTTCGATCATGATATGGGCCTTACTATCCCTTGTGAAGAAGTGGTTTTTCGATCTCTAACCTCAATGCTAAGGTGAAAAGATGATCAGTAGTGTGATGGTGGTGTATGTTTGCTTGGAGTAGATGGCTTAAGACGAAGCTGCCCTATAGTTTCTCTTTTTTTAACATCTTCTCCATTGTGATTCGTGATATTGTTTTTTGTTTCCATGTATTTTCTCTTTTAAACCCGGCTGGGTTTTTGTGTCTCTAATTACTAACTTAGATCCCATGAAAAAATGCATGGGTTTGATCTGTATAAACTCTGGTTTTCCTCGCAGATGTAGTTGTTAACACCACTGTGAGAGAAGGTTTATGGATTAATGCAAAGGGTTTACCTTTTTAACTTACAAATCTCTCTCTTTCTCCATATCTGCTACTTCAGATCTCATGTGCATGGCTGGAAAAACACAGGGGCAAAGCAAGACACTCAGTCGAATCAAATCAAGTACATGCTTAAGGCTGTAGAAAAGTGCATCCATTAGCACACTCCCAACACCATATATAATTTTGTCAGAGAATTGGGGGTACATCAGCATTTACGGACCATCAGTTTACTGTTATGGGGTTTGAGTTTGAAGGCACTCTCCACTAAGCAGACTTGCCCTTGAAAATAATTTGCTATCATGGTTAATAAATCTTGTTTAGAATTCTAAAAAATACTTTGGAGACTATCCAGTTCCAACCATCTGACAAATGCAAGTCAGGAATGCATCACTTTCCAGTTAGTTAATCCAATGATCAAGTTTTTTATTTTATTATATTATATACTAGTACCGTCAATTTTATTTATTTTTCAAGGTAAAAAGCTTAACTTTTCAAGTGAAAATCTTTTTAACTGTTTGGGTGTCTTCTCAGATAAAATTCAATACAGTCTAATTAAGTTGGAGCCCATGAAAAAATTACGCCAGGAGTAGTTGGAGCTTTTGCTTTGGCATGGTTGCAACCTTGAATCTTGAGAACTATCAGTTCTATCGTAAGAAATCATTGCATTAATTGCTTTAATCACCACGGTTAATAGTGGTTTGTTCCGATGCTTAAATATAATTACCCGTGCATTAATAAGTGGAGGTACTTGATTTCTTTTCACTTTTCTTAGTCAAAAACGGCATGATTTTAATTAATTATCACACATTATTAGGCCCATAAAGTCACGCCTGACACATCACAGAATCACCCTAGTGAAAATGTCACCTTTACAAATTGCTTAGTAGCTAATACTGCGTTTCACACAAAAGACTACTCCATGGTTTCCTCGAATAGTGTGGGAAATGTAGCGACTTTCGCGAGAAAATGAAAAATGGGAAGGAAACGTTATTGAATGTTTCTTTAGGGTATGAATCGGCAAAGCATAAAGCTTGCTTTTGGCTGAAATTAATTTTTTATATATATATTTTTAAAATCATTTTAATATGTTATATCATAATACTAAACGCTAAATATTATAATATGTTTTTTAAAGTGATTTTTTACTTTAAAAATATATTATATTAATTTTTTATATTCCTAAAAGATTTTAAAGTATTAATTTTAAAAATAAACAAATAAAATAATATTTTAATACAATTTCAATTAAAAGAACACTGGGAATAACAATACTAAACAGGCAAGAAATAGCTAGCTTTGAAACATAAAAGAAAAAAGTAATTGAGATAAAGATGATATGTTTTTATTTACAAAAAAAATTACTTTGGAATGATTGAAGCATTAAATTTATTTTATATTTTTTATGGTGTCCATGTAAACAAATAGTTTATTATGCAACTTTAATCCTAGATAAACGAAACTATAAATGTTGCAACTAATGTCACTTCCAAAACGAACTTGTCTTTTATGTTGGATCATTGGACTTCGATATGGATTCTGTTTCAACAGATACTTTTTCATGTGTAGCTTCAAGTTGGTCAGGGTTTTCTCTTTTAGTTTCAACAAGTGGCAAAAGACTTAGAAGTCTGTCTCAAAAAGAGAAGGGAGTAACAATCATTAGCTAAAAATGTCAATGTTGAGATCACATGCTCATGATAATCATCAACCAATTTTTATTTTAATATTGATAGGAGAATAAAATAGAGACGGTGCTTCATGTAGAGTTCA